GATTATCGTCCCAGTCTAATTATTAATAGTGTCCACATATTACTGTCAAATCTATCTCAGTTTAGATGATAAATTATAGTCAACAATTATGGCAAATGCTACTGATACATCAAATAACATGAGAAATGAAAATAGACAACTGGATTTAGAAACAAGCAGGATAGTCTTTATCATACTACTTTCAGTAGAGTATGGAGCTACGGTCTGAATTTTTGTTCTTCCAAAATTCATATGTTGAAATCCATATCCCCAAGCTGATGGTATTAGGAGTTGGGGTCTTTGGGAGGTGATTGGCTCATGAAATAAGAGTACTCATGATTAGAGTCAGTGCTGTTATAAAAGAGGCTCCACAGAACTCCCTAGCCACTTCTACCATGTGAGGACTCAGACAGAATTTGGCAATCTGCAACCCAGAAGAGGGCCTTCTCCAATACCCAATCATGCTGGCAACCTGATCTTGGATTTCCAGTCCCCAGAACTGTGGGAAATTTCTGTTGTTTAAAAGCCACCCTGTCTGTGATATTTTGTTGTAGTAGTATGAATGGATTAGGACATATGTGGCCAAAATCTGATTAGAATTAGTTTAAAAGATATGGAGAATAGGTCATTCATACCACTTCACCCAATGAGGAAAATTACAAAAGCAGGATAGAGAAAAAAAATCTGTGCGAGAGCATGGGAGAGCTAACACAGTGGTTAAGTATTATGGGCCAAGGTCCAGGGCGCTATGAAATGTAAGTCTGACATGTCTGACATTTAATGTCACTTTCCCCCAAGAAGTGACTGCTGATGTCCGAAAAGAATATTGAGTAGCTAAAAAGCTGAGCAGTGCTTATGACTGCCTTATGTGTTAGAGGAACAAAAATTGGAACCAAGACCCCACCAAGGGGAAAGAGATATTCTCCATCTTTGAGTTACAAATGCAAAGTTTTATCCCTTATGGGTAATAAGCTTCGATTTAACTCAGTTCCTGAAATTGGCTTAAGATGTTCCCTGGTTATTGATCCTCATAACCATCTACCAGAGAAAAAATAAATTCTCACTGGAGGAAGATAAGATTATACTGTCTTAAATTATGTTTATAATTTTCCATACAGGATATGCAAAACTTATTTAAATACACAACCAGACTGACATATCAACAAGGAAAAGAAATGGAAGCCAGAATGTTAAAAGGAAATAACCACCAGTCTAGAATTCAGTAATCAAAAAAATCTTCTTCAGGAATGAAAGTAAAATAAAGACATTTTCAGAAAAATAAAAGCTGAAAGAATTGATCACCAGTAGATTTACACTAAGTAAAATATTAAAGAGTGTTTTTTAGGTAGAAAGAAAATGATCCCAAATCTAGGTTTGGAATTTTCGGAAGGAATAAAGAGCAATGAAAAATGCAAGCAAAGCTAAATGAATATTGGCTGTGAGAAATAACATTAATAATGCTTGTGTGGTTAGAAATACACATTAAAAACAGAAAACAGGTCAGGAGACTGGCAAATCTAGTTAAAGTATTCTACGGTGCTGTATTTTCTGTGAAGAAGGTGAAAATGCCAAGTAATATTCGAGTTTGATAAATCGAGGATTTATACTTTAATCTCTAGGACAATCAATGAAAGAAAAGTTAAAGAATGTATAATTAATGAGGTAACTGGTAGCAGGGGAATCTAGATAATAAATAACCCAAGTCAATCCTAAAGAAGCCAGAGAAAGAAAAATATCAAGAAATATAAGAATCTATGATGAATCCTGTGTGGAGTTGGTTAATAAGTAGAGCAAAGCAAGTGATCTAGGGACCCAGAGACAAATAAGACCAAAAGTCTCTGAGAGGGCATCAAATGTATTCTGTACAGGGACTGAAGTCTAAGTATAAATCAGCTCAATTCCTAATTAAGTTGATGTAATGTATCTTTACCTTAACTTTACCTAGAAGCAAAAGTAAGTCATCACTTAAAGCAGAAAACTTTATCCAGAACCTCATATTATCACTATATTTATATACACAATAGCAATATAAAAATAAAATACAAAAAATAAAAGAAAAACTTTGGATATGGTGATGACTTTTAAGACACAACACGAAAGGGACGATCCATGAAAGAAACAATTGGTAAGCTGAGCTTCATTAAGATTAAAAGTTTCTGCTCTCCAAAAGACATATCAAGAGAATGAGAAGACAAGCCACAGACTGGGAGAAAATATTTGCAAAAGACACATCTCCTAAAGGATTATTATCCGAAATATGCAAAGAACTCTTAAAACTCAACAATAAGAAAACAAACTACCTGATTAAAAAATGAGCCAAACCTTACCTTAACAGACACATCACCAAAGAAGATATACAGACATCAAATAAGCATGGGAAAAGATGCTTCATCTCATATGTCATCAGGGAAATGCAAATTAAAACACAATAAAATCCCACTACATACCCATTAGGATGGCCAAAACCCCGAACACTGACAGCACAAAGTGCTAATTAGAATGTGGAACAACAGATGCTCTCATTCATTGCAGGTGATAATGCAGAATAGTGCAGTCACTTTGGAAGACACTTTGGCACTTTCTTACAAAACCAAACATACTCTTACCATACAGAGAGAAAGTGCTTCTAAAAAGGAGGACAGAAGTGTATAAAGGAATAAAGGGCAAAAAAGGGTGTAAACATATAAGCAAATTTAAAAGAATGTTGATTTTATGAACCAGCATCAATAGTAATGCATTATAGGGCTCAAATATATTTGGAAATAAAATATATAACAGTCACATCACAAAAAGTAGAAGAGGTTCTGTGGTCCTAGCATTGTCGGAAAGTGATGGAAAGTACTAATATATGCTAGACTTTGAGTCAAGAAAGTATGTTATAAACATTAGGGTTGGCCAGTAAACAAATAGTAATATAATATGTAATTAATAACCTAGTAGAGGAGGAAAATAAAATAATTAATTCAAAAGAAAAAATAGAGAGAAATGTATGAAATAATAGAAAACAAATAAGAAGGCAAATTAAACCCAAATAGATTAGTAATAATGTCAAGTCTACACATTCTAAATATAGAAAAGCTAAATAATCCAATCAGAAGACTGTATTAGTGTGCCAGGGCTGCCATAATAAAGCACTGTAGACTGGGTGGTTTAAACAATGGAAATTTTTTTCTCACAATTCTGTAGGCTGAGTCTCCAAGATCAAGCTGTCAGCAAGGTTGATGCCTTCTGAAGTTTCTGTCCTGGGCTTGTAGGCAGTCACCTTCTTCCTGTGTCTTCACATGGTCTTTCCTCTGTACCTGTTTGTGGCCAAATTTTCTCTTCATATAAGGATACCAGTCATGTTGAATCAGAGCCCACCCTAATGTCCTCATTTTAACTTAATCACCTCTTTAAAGACTCTATCTCCAAATAGCCATATTCTGAGGTACAGGGGTTAGGACTTCAACATATGAATTGGGGGGCTGGGGAAGCACATTTCAGCCTAGAATAAAGACAAAGATAAAACAACAACTAAATGCTGTTTACAAAAGATATACCTTTAATATAAGGGCATAGAAAGATTGAAAAAGATAGACCGTGCAAATACTGACCAAAAAACATAACACACAAAAAACAAAAATACCGGCTTAGCCATATTAATATCAGAGAAAATAGATTGCAAAGCAAGAAGCATTAATAAAAATAAATAAAAATAATGAAGTCATCAGTCTACTGAAAAATTATAACATAGCTACAATTATATTCAGATTTGAAAGCACTAAGAGGAGAAATAAACAAAAAGGAAAACAGTGACACAGTTTTCTCATTAACTGATAGAAAATGCAGACCAAAAATGTCAATAAGGATATAAATTTGTATCACAATTAAAATTTTGACCTATATTGAGCCTCATATCCAAAGACTGCACCCTGTGCAATCTTTTCAAGAAATCAGAGAATAATGTTGACCACATGCTAAGAAAAGAGTAAGCATCAATAAGTTTCCAGGAATGAAATCAAAAGGTGTGTTCTCTCACCTCAGTGGAATTAAGTTCAAAACCAGTACAACAACATAGCTAGAAAGTAGACAATAGTTTAGAATTTAAAATACACATCTAAATACAAGCAAATAAAAAAATAAATCACAAGTGGAAAATGGGACGTTTTAAAATTGAATCAAAACCTGTAGATACAGCTAAATCTGTGCTCAGAGGAAAATTTATAGCCTTTAATATATATGTTGGTAAAGAAAAAAGGCTATTGCGACTATCTATCAAGATTTTGAAAACATGCAGCAAATTAAAGTCAAAGAAAATGGAAGAAAATAAGAACTAATATTAATGAATTAATAACAAATACAACAGAAATAATCAAGTAAAAAGTGGATTCTTTGAAAAGACTCATAAAACTGAAATACACCTGGTAAAACTAATCAAGAAAATAAACGGAGAATCAAATAACTGACAAAAGTTGTTTCAACATTTAAAAATCACAAGACATTGTGTACAACTTTAATAAATTTTAAATATTAAATAAACTGGAAAAGTCCTTGGGAAATCAAAAAAGATGGGTTCTAATGCGTAAGTGACAGTCCCAGCTTTAGGCTAAAGCTCAACCTTTTGTCATTGTAATAAGCAGAAAAACAGAATACATGAAAATAAGAGAAGATTTGAGTTTGAGTGTTTCTTCTGTTCTGGTTTCTTTCCCTAGATTTGTCACATATACCATGATTTCTGTGCCCGTTTTGCCTACATTAGAATCTTCATTTCTTCGGTTATGTGTTCTTGTTGCTGAGTTTCAGATTTTGCTTTAATAAATACACTTATTTAATAAACGTGTTTATCTATGTGTGTCAGAGATGTGCTAGGAGCTGGAGACACTATTACAAACAAGACATAAGCCATCTGTACCTTGAGGTGCTCCAATTCTAGTCGGAGTGAAAGCAAATGAAGACAGAGAGGCCTATGTAATAGGCTGTTAGAGGCTGTAGGAAGAGAGCTCTAGGATATGAGGACATGAGTTCTAAAGGACAATCAGAACAGTAGAAAGGGTAAACAGAGAACAGAACTTCCAGACAAAGGAAATAGTATGCTCGAAGGCCCAGGGGTGGGAGCAAAGCTGAAGGTCTGGAAACACATGTACTTGCAGGTAAAATTTACTTTAAGTGTGTATCTTACAACAGCTTTCTTCCTTCCTAACATGATTATTAAATATTGAATTTTTTTTATTATTGAACTGGGAATGGGAAGGACTCTGGTCCGTACAGCTAGTCTGCTCCCTCCAGCCTTTGTTCTCTTTGACATCTGCGGGTTTTTTCCTGTGGCATATGGTGAAGAAGACAGATTTATGCTTTCCTCTTTTGCAGAGAAAGTCATTTACTTTTCTGAGTCTAAATTGAAAATATTACATAATGGAATCTCCTGTTTAAATACAGTAAAAAATACCCTTTCTTCATTTCGATTCCCCTCCTCCAAATACGCAATAACTACTTCACAATGACTATCACTTGGGGTGCACAAGGGGGATTCACATCGCTCACCTTCTCCTTTAGAGAAACGTCTCTGTTGACTCACAGCTTTACACATTCATTAATTCAAATAGCTTTTGAGTCTCTTTTATGTGACGAAAGGAAACCACCAACTCCATCCCATGGCTTCGCAATCCTCACACTGTCTTCTCCACCTCCAGGAATGAGTTGTATTTAGAAAGAGTGCCCAGGCAATTTAGCCAATTCATAAAGTCAGTGTGGTTTTAGAGTATGTATTTGAAATGCATGGGAAAGTTGTCGTTTTATAAAAACTAGTAAAGAAGCAAACCCCATCATTTCGATGATTTGCTACTGCCTCTGTTAAAAAGTCTAGAGTCTGAAAATGGAATTCTGTCATTGCTCTTATTAGAACACAAATGCGTCTACCCATGTTGACAAGTGGGCAAAACACATTTACTTTATGCAAGCATTTCCTGTCATTTAATTGATCTTTCCAATTTTACTACATGGCCTTGGGTTGCTAGTCAGAAAAATTTCCCTGAAACTTACATTGCCCTGTCAAATGCAAGACGTTCCAGGTGACCTAATGATGGAATGGAGATTGACAGCACTACAGCCCACATGTAAAAGAGTGAATGAATGAAAACCTGCCTGGTTCCCTCTTACCACTTTTTACTGAGAATGTGGGGTCTGCCAGACTTTTCATTATGGGGAACCTATTTGTCATTGCTTGTCATTCTGTGACAGAGTAATTCAGTCTGTAATCAAATAAGCCTGGAAGTCATTTTTATTTATGTATAAAATGATAAAATATGGCCGACTTGGGGGATAGGAGTATGAAAAATCACAAACTTCAGCTGGTGGTCTTTAAGAAATCTATTCTCCCATTTACTCGATCTTTTGTCTTATTCTTATCTTCAGATAATCTTTCAGTGTCTTGATTGCTAGCAGATCATTCTCCTGCCTTCTTTCTAAGTCAGTGGCCTCTCTCTTCAAATCATCCCTGTTTGGTGAGTCCTTCTCCTTAATTCCCTCTCTAAAGGCCTCTAGCGGAAAAAATGCACAGCCAAAAATGAACCCAAGACATATGGAGGGAAAAAAATACACAATTTCTCAGAACTGTCCTTTGCTTTCCCATCAGTTTTATCACTGACCTTTAGCTAAACTCTGAAGAGAAATGAAATCTTCAACTTGATAATTAAAAACACCAATATGTTTATTATGAAACTTCCTTTTGGATAGCACTAGCAGCTTAAGACTCCTGGAAAGAGAAAAAAAAATGCTTTGGCCAAAGATCATGCCATCAAAAGAAAGAAAGTTAACAGTCAATGAGATGAGCCTAGGAATAATATTTGCTTGCAGAAAGAACAATTTCATTTTCTATAACTTGCAAATGCAAAAAAGTAAGCATTTAACAATATTTACCAAGAAATAAAATAGGAAAAAAATCCCGGTAAAGCCCAAAGATTTTCCCATAAAATAGATTCTATAACATTTTCAAACACTGACATTTTTTCTCCAACGTGAGTAATAAGCTTTTGAATGCTAATTCAATAAGATTTCTCTTATCCTCTCACTAAGAATGCACATGATCAGAAATTAGAACAGTGTCTCATTTGGCTCTGTATAAACTTTTACTTCTGCTCTTAGAAGAAAGAAATGTCCTTCCTTGGATTACAGGAACAAGTGTGAAAGGAAATTAAAGAAATAAAAAGTCATCTGCAGAGAATTCTCCTTAGACAACATGCTAGTAAACTCTGGCATCTTCTGGAATCCGAAAACTTTCCATTATACATAGCATATATTCAAGACAAATAGCAGTCAGAAACTGAAAGCTCAGAGATGTCTGCAAAAAAGAAATCATGCACAGAAAATCTGAGGTCTACAGGAGTGCCATCGGCCTGATTTCGGAAAGGCTGGCAAATCTTTCACGGGTTTCCTCTCATCCTGGCTGTATGCTGAAAATGTAAGCGATTAATATGCTAAATAGAAAAACCTGGGCTCTCAGTTGCTTGCGTTTGTCTGCCAGAACTTTGAAATTAGGTCACGGCCGGCCGCCAGGGAAAATTCCTTCTCAGATGGTAGGCTGCGTGAACACCTTAATAGACCGAGACAGGAGGAGAAACCTCCTGAAGCACTCTAAATGATGGGAATGATATACACTATGAAAATTATATCAACTAGTGATTCCAAGATCTTCCAATATGCTACCAAGAAACATAGCTCTGAACTTCACATCTCCCTTTCCACCCTGCCCTTGGAAGAAAACAAAAAGCAACAAAACTCCTTTCCAGTTTTTCCAGCTGTTTCATCAACCTACTTGAATATTTAACATTCTGAGGATAGAATTTCTTTTAATAAGCACCACTCCTGATAGTTTTGAAATAGGCTAAATTTTAGGGCTCCATTTTTATGCAAGGATGACATTCCTGAAAGATACATACATACATAAATTTATTTTTTGTGAGATACATTTATGAATGTGCATAAGGGATCACTTATAATGTCTGCTTTTCCATCTTCAAAATAATGGATTAGGGGTTGGCCCCATGGCAGAGTGGTTGAGTTCGCGTGCTCTGCTGCAGGCAGCCCAGGGTTTCGTTGGTTGGAATCCTGGGCACGGACATGGCACTGTTCATCAACCCACACTGAGGCAGCGTCCCACATGCCACAACTAGAAGGACCCACAATGAAGAATATACAACTATGTACCAGGGGGCTTTGGGGAGAAAAAGGAAAAAAATAAAATCTTTAAAAAAAATGGATTATATATTTTTTTAATTTTTTTTTTTAAGAAGATTAGCCCTGAGGTAACATCTGCCGCCAATCCTCCTCTTTTTGCTGAGGAAGACTGGCCCTGAGCTAACATCCGTGCCCATCTTCCTCTACTTTATATGTGGGACGCCAGCCAAAGCATGGCTTGCCAAGCAGTGCCGTGTCAGCACCCAGGATCTGAACTGGCGAACCCCTGGCCACTGAAGCAGAATGTGTGCACCCAACTGCTGCGCCACTGGGCTGGTCCCAATGGATTATATTTTTAAGTAGTAAAACTGAAATACTGTTAAAATGTTTTGCTAAAATTTCGTAGACTTTGATGATTAAATTAAGCATTTCGTTCCTAAGTTAATAATAATGGGGGAAGTTGAGGTTTTAAATCTCTCTCTTTAAAAAAAATACAAATCACTGTGGAAATAATATCAGTAAAATGTTCAGGAACAAGAATTCAAGATCTCCTTTTATTATTAATTTAATTTTTAACCTGAGGACACAGTTTACGCATCTGTAAAATGATTAGCTAGAAATAGGTGATTTCTAAACCTGCTCCTACCTATAAAATAGCATGATTATTTTATCTAAATTATAAACACTCATGAGAAAAAAATTCGAAACTCCTAGTATTTGGATGCACTATTAATTCATGAAGTTACATAATAATCATTTATATTATGTCCAAGAGCGGGCAACAACAACGATAATGACAGTTAAACACAGCCTTGTAAAATGCGGAAGGTGGTCAGATCAAATTAGACTTAAGATTTCAACACCTTTTCTTTGGCCATAAGAATTGATGGCAGCTGTTTGGTATGCGCAGCAGCAGAGCCGTGCATCATGAGGGACAAGTCTCCTTTGGCTCTGGGAAGGGTCTTGGCATCATCAGAGATGAGGAACTGTTAATACATAGGTATTTACAATTGATTAGGACTTCAAACTGTAAATCTGAAAATTGTCATAAGGAATATGTTAAAGTATAAAATTCTGATTGAGTCTCTTGGGTGACCATAGTTTCATCATTTGTCATGTTTTCATTTGAGAAGCCCAAGATTTGCAGGACGGTAGCAACAACCTAAACCTAATCATTCCAAATGTCAGTTCACTATTTTATTGGAGTAACAGCACACCAGCTGTTAATATTCCAAAACATCCTTTAGAATCTTTGGAGTCAATAATATATAGTCTGGAAAAGACACTTTGAAATTCCGTTTTGCTTATTGGGCACCAGTGATGCAGAAAAGAATGACCTGAGCACATGGGAAATAATTGATCTACAGGCTGAAGTCTGATGTCTAGGACCCTTTCTCAGCCTGGAAAGAATTCTCAAACTTCACCAAATGGATTTTTCATTTTATTATCCTTTGAGCTTTTCCTCCAAGAAAACTGCTAATTGTCAACCATGGTTGACATGGTGTTTTCATATTCTTCCAAACCCTCTTCACAAAATTGGAAGACAGCAGGTGGAAGCCTATCATATTTCAAGGGGAAGTCTAAATTTAAAGCTGCTATGTAGATTTCTAATATTTTCATATTATATTTACTAAAGACAGCTACTGTGGATTCCTCAAACTTGTCTAATGTATGCAGTTTCTAACAAGGGATTTTCCAAACTTTTCCTCATCCTATTCTCTCTTCTCTGAGCATCCTTACTCAGACTCTCCTTCTAGATCAGCAGAGACCCCAGTACCTTAAGCAGGCTCTGTTTCCGGGGGTGATGGCTGGTGTTGGTGCGGCTAACACTGACCCTCAGTGTGTGGTGAAGAGGGAAAGCCGAAAAGCAACGTCTGAGAGTAAAACCAGAATTGGAAATTCATAGACATAAATTACCATTCCTGAAGTGTCAGGTGGAGTTGTAGCCACAAAAATTCACTGAGATTAACCATCATTTGTGGGTTCTGAATGCTGAATGAAAGGTGAAAGGTAGAGCCTGAAAAAATGAAACAAAACAAAACAAAAACAAAACAAAGACATGGAGAACAGTGGTAGAGGCATTTTTTTTTTAATAGAATGCCAACTTCTTCGCCCATGGATAGGGAGGCACCACTAGGAAAAGAGCCATATTGGGTAATTTTCTAATTTGTCACCTTCTAGATACTGACTGTTGGCAGGGACTTCAATAGACCTATGTCTTTCTTTTTTCCCCTATCATTTACGTACTTTCACATCCTATAACTTTTTGGCTTTCTGACCACTAATATGAAGATCTATTTGTGCCAGGACTACCCGGCTGTCCAGAGCCTAACATGCCTGGGAGGATGATGCCGAGAGAGTGAATATAGATATTAATATTCCATTTGTGAATGTCTTTCCTGATAGGCTTGAAGACAAACTAGAGAAACAAGCAATAGATGGTAGTACAGTTATTTGGTTTCATAACTGGTGGGATAGCCATGAGCTAAGACTGCTGTTTAGTGGATCCATGCCAACTGTACAAATATTTTCTAGGTCCTGTACTACATTCTGTTTTCACTGTCATCAACATCTTGGGTGAGGACATAGCAATTTACTGAAGTTAGTGACCTACCAAATCTGGTTCAAATAACTCACATGTTAAGTGACAGAATTAAGATATTAAAAAAAAGAAGATATTCATGGGCTGAATTAATCGAACAGGATAAATGAAATAGGGATAAATATAAGTTTTATATTTAAGTACAAAACTTGTTTTCAAAGTTACCAGATAAAAATATATATACAATTTAGAGTGGCACATATTTTCAAAAATGGATATTTCAGCTAATTGTCAACCACAATATTTTGTGATTCCTCCCAAGAAAGTACATATTTTCTCTATCACCTATATGAATTCACTTCTCTGTTCAAAACAGTGTGCTGAGCAATGAATGACTGAGACAAGAAATGATCCCAGGTGACTAAATAAAGAATGAATAATTTATGAGTCAAGAGTCCTTCCTTTACAACTAAAGAGATCCTTGATGACATCAAAGGCTTCAAGAATCAGAGAAAGAGAATGCATGTATTTTCTGCGCAGTCTGAGAGAGAGTAGCATATCTCAATCAATTAAGACCTTTTGTAATGAATTCTATTTGGTATCTAATAAACCAAATAATGTAATACTGATGTACATTCTCAGTGCTCCATGGGCAGCCACAATGGTGTGTAAAATAAAGAAATTAAGTGTGCAACTCTCTCTTCTTTTTTTTTTTTTTTTGATACTTTTCTTCTTGCCCTTCTCCTTCCCAAACTCCCAAAACTATAGAAAATGTTAACAGTTAAGAATACAGGCAGAGAAAAGATCCTACTTGTTTCTTTTCCTTCTACAATACTTCAAACTTTTTGAAGATTTCAAAGAAAAGGAACAAAGAAAAGAAGTAGAGGAGAGCTGGTATCTACTTCCTTGCTTATGAAAAGAAACAGTAGAGTAGTAAACCTCACAGAGGGGCAGTGATGATCCAGATTAGGTCTGTGTGGCTGAGGCTGAATCTGATTACTCCCAAAATTGCCCTAATTTAGCATGAGTTCTGTCTATGATTGAGAATAAAAAACTGGGAAACATCTTCCTAATCGTAGGAATCATGTTAATTATTATGTCCACATTTTAAAATTTGATTTTCATGTGGTTATGGTTATAAAGGCTTGAAAATACTTTGATGTACCATTATCCCATTCCATTCTGTTTCCTCCAGTATTCCTAATTTTTAAACAGTAACAGAAATGTTGTCATATCTTTCATCCTAAAAATTCAAAAGGAAAATATCAAAAAATTACCATGTACCTGCTACACGCTCAACTTGCTATTGCCTCTCTCCACACCCTCCCACCAAAATTCTTGAAGAACATCTATATTCATTGTATGGTCCCATACATTTTCCTTACAGTCAATTTGCCCCTTACTATGCTCTTGGTTCTCTTCAAACTCGACATCAATCTATTGAGAATTTTTTGCTCTAGCCACAAATAAACTCCTTAGAGCCACATCCAAAAACATTTTTAGTAGTGCTCATTTTGCATGATGTCTCAGGAGCAATGAATAACGCTGATTAACATAACCTGCTCTTCACCCTTAGCTTTTAAAACTATTCCCTTATCTGCCATGTAACTACATTTTCCCTGTTTTGCTCTTATTTAATGCCTTAGTTCATTCATTTATTCCATATTCAAGACATGCCAGAAATTGTGCAAGCTCTTGCCCAAAAGGACTTCACAATCAGTTGGTAAGCACACAAGTCTCCCTCCACTTCCCTCACCTTACATGAAAGTGTCTGGAGTCGACTCCAGACCTCCTTTATTTCTCTGCAGTGTCTCTATAGTAAGCTGAGTTACTACAGCGGCTTTGCCATGCCTTTTAGCAGACGTCCATTCCCACATGAGTAACTACCACCTGCGCATCTTCACCAGCATTCTTGCTTGGACCTTAAATGCATCAGATCTGCACATTTGTGTTTCCTACTCATGTTCTGGAATAAGTGGTACTAAGAGATAATGCAAGAAGAAAGGGAGTACTAAGTGAAGATGAATCATTTCTTTGTTTAGCAGACTAACAACAGAGACATTTCTGAGAAGTGGAACTCACATCCCTTGCTTCTTCCTGGGAAGCAGCATGTTTATTCTTTGGCTGAAAGTGGTAGTCATTTGACTGTTGAGCATGATCTTACATATAAAAACGTCAAACCTAACTCATTTGATCCAGTCTGTTCTTAGCCATTAGGTTGAACTGGAGTAATATGTGACATTAATAAACATCAGAGTAAATGGAAACTGATGTCAGAGGACATCAATCAGTAATAAGTTGTATGACCATGAAATCTAGTTCTAAGTTATTATTAGCCAGACAGTTAAGATATATTCAAGTCTTTATAAGGTCAGATGAAGGAAATCACTAGCCACATAATTCTTCCTTGTTATGGACAGATGTATTTGGTGGCATGAAAGGAATGTTGAAATTGTTAGCAAAGAATCCTATTTTGCTTGTTTACTGAGTCACTTCTTTGGAAATAAAAAGAGAGAGAACACCACTTATTAAGCTTTTGATTTGTCATGTTACCAAACAACTGATTATACAGGACTTTGAGATGCAAAAACTGAGAACACTGTAGAGTTCTTTATTCTTGAGACATTGAAAATTAAGTTCTTGGAGTTGGAATTACCGATTAACTACTAGAGTCGACCTCCTCCTAGAAGTGTGGGAGAGAGTATATTTGCATAAACTGAAACAGCAGTCCTGGAGCGTTTTGGTCTCAGGGCCCCTTCACAGTTTTAAAAAGTACTGAGAACCCCAAAGAGTTTTGTTTATGTGTGTTATATATACCTATAATTACTATATTAGAAATTAAAACTGAGAAAATTTAAAAACATTTGTTTATTCATTTTTTAAATAATGATAAACATAGGATGTGTTAATGAAACAATATATTAACGATAATAACTCTATTTTCTAAAATAAAAATAGTGAAAGAGTGGCTTTGTTCTATATTTTTATAAATCTTTCTAATTTCTGATTTTATAGAAAATAGCTGGATCCTTGTATCTGCTTTTGCATTCCATCTGCGGTTGTATTATATGCCACGTAGTCTCTGGAAACCTACGAGAGAAGAGGATGAAAGGCAAATGACGTCTTAGTATGACTGTGAAAAGAGTGTTGCCCTCATAGACCCCATTGAAGCTTCTCAGGGATCCCATGGATTCCCGGACCACCCTTTGAGAAACTTCTGGGGTAAAAGATAAATTGGATAAATGTGCCCACGTTTCCATCATCTGGACGTATTTTTTTAATTATTAAAACATTTTAAAACATGTTTAATCATTCAGAATACTACACGGCAAACATTGTAACAAATATCTACAGTTTGTCTTATTTCTTTCACATTAAAAATAATAGTTCCTTACTCAAAAACCACTCCATTTTGTTTCTCCTCAAAGGCAAAACTGTGAGAACTTCTTTTCAAATTTCAAATTTTCTTAGATTCCTACAGGATCATAGTTGGAAATTAAATATTTTTAAGAAATATATGGCAAATTGGTGACACGAATTATGTAACACTTTTAAAAATGGATGTTAGCAATCGTTATAGCATCTCTATAGCACTGACAAACTGCATATGGAAAGATATTAATTTGGTGCTTAGGCCATGCACCAAGAACAGATATATTGTGGCAAAGCCTACATTGATTCCATCATTCACTAGGGTTCAGTGTTCTCTCTGTTAGAAACCACTGAAGTAAATGATCCTTAAGATACACAGTAGAATGTACACACACTCACACACACGCATATATATGTATATATAATCTCTAATATCAATTTTAATTAAGCTTTAAGAAATTAAAGCTACCTCAGACATTGAGGCAATTTAATGGGGCAATTAAATCCTTTGGAAGAAGAGTATGACAAAATAGTATCACCAATTCATAATTTGTAAATCCATAAACTCAGCGATCTTTTCAACACTAGTGGCCTCACTTCATATCTCACTAGAGAATTTACCAAAAAGCCAAAGAAAGAAGCATATTACTAACATACATTGTTAGCATAGGAAATTATCAAAACAGCATACAAAGATAATGATAGCGTAACTGCAGTTTACACCCCAATGTAGACAAAGAAACTAATAGAGCCTTTCTGGCTTGGAAAAAGTTGAATTTCTTTTTAATTCCTTAAGTCCAGTAAATCATAAGACTCCCCTTGTCATTCTCATTACTGGATTATGGATTCAAATCTTTCCTCTATGATTGGCTAATACTACTTCTAAACACATTTTTCTTTTGGTTTTACATTTAACTACTTCAAAAGAAGGGATAAAAAAGTGTCAAAATAATATCCATGAAATTACAACCAAATATGGCCCAATCTCATGATTTCAGGTATGCAGATGAAGGCCCAGACCAATTTTTCTCAACTAAAGTAAGACCCTCTTACGTGCACAACAATGGCCTAGATCTTTTTGGCAATATAAAATGCACTCAAAGAATTTAAAGTATAGTCAAGGAGATAAAATAAACATAATAATAATACAAGATAATTTATAATTTGTACAAGATAATTTTCAATAGTACAAAGATAATTTATTTATCCTGTATATAATTTATACACAAGATAATTTTTAAGAATATAAGGTACTACATAAATGAAAACTAAACAAGTGATTCAGCAATTACAAAAGGAATCAGAGCAATGACAGTGATTATTGCACCGAGTGGTAAGAAGGACTTCAAGAAAGAGGTGAAGGGCACATGTACTGGCTCTCACTGGATGACGACTATTCAGTCAGAGAAGATGAGAGAGGCCACTTCAGAAAATGGCACACCCATGGTGAAGAAGCAGAGACTTCGCACAAGCCATCTCTCCTAATTATATGTACTTGGTGGCAGATGGTGAGTGTTTAAAAGCAAACTGTGGTAACTCCATTAAAATGTTGGATACCTGGAGGTATAACGTCTCCTCAATCCAAAGGCAGAGTTGATCCATAGCTGTTTTCTGTAAGGTCTGTACTGCTGACTGTGCAGATCTACATGTTGCCTTAGTTTGTTGATTTGTAAAGTTCACAAACATTCAACAAATTCATTCATTCGTTCAATAAATAGTGAATGAGCACTAACATGCATGTAAAATGATGTGGATAGAACAGTGAACCAAACAGACCAGGAATGATAAACAAATAAACAAGCAAATAAACTGCAACTTGTGTAAGTGCTCCAGGAAAAGAACAGGGCGCTATGAGAGACAATAAGATGAGAGGCACCTACTCAATCTTTTATGAAACTTTTTATTAAAAAAAATCCACGATTCAGGATAGTTACAAGAACATTACAATAAACATGAATATACCCTTCAACTATACTTCCTCACTGTTAACATTTTGCCACATTGTTCTCTCTTCTCCCATCCTCTCATCTCCTCTCTTACCTACATATAGAATGTATATATTCCATATATAGATAAATATATACATATCTATATGTATGTGTATATATACACATATTGATATATATGTTCTTATATATCATATAAATTCTAAATATAATTCTAGATATATTTAAACACATGTAAACATAAACATTATTATAGTTACTTATAATAGACTGAATTGTGTCCCCCCCACAATTCACTTATTAAAGCCTTAACTCCCAATGTGACAGTATTTGGAGATGGGGTCTTTGGGAGGTAATTAGATTTAGATGAGGTCATGAGGGTGGGGCCATCATGATGGGATTAGAGCTCTTATAAGAAGGGGAAGAGACATCAGAGCTCTCTCTCTCTGCCACGTGAAGACACAGTGAGAAGGCAGCCATCTGCAAGCCAGGAAGAGGGTGTTCACCAGAATCCCACCACGCTGGCACCCTGATCTTGGGCTTCCAGCCTCCAGAACTGTGAGAAAATAAATTTCTGTTGTTGAAGCCACCCAGTTCGTAGTATTTTGTTATGGGGCCCAACTAGGCTAATACATTATTGTTACTAGTGTCATTCCAATTTTTTTACGAACCATTGACACTCAGTTCCAAAGACCATAACTCTTTGCCACTAAGTACTTAAGCATGTATCTCCTGAGAAAAAAGGATATTCTCATAATCACACTATAATTTCAAAATTCAAGAAATTTGTCTTTGGGGTTGACTCGGTGGCATACTAGTTAAGTATGTGCGCTCTGCTTCAGTGGCCTGGGGTTCATGGGTTCGGATCCGGGCATGGACCTACACATTGCTCATCAAGTCATGCTGTGGCAGTGTCCCACATACAAAACAGAGGAAGATTGGTACAGGTGTTAGCTCAGGGCCAATCTCCCTCACCAAAAAAAAAAAAGAAAGAAAGAAATTTGTCATTGATACACTATAATCAACATAGTCCATATCCAAATTTTACCAATTGTCTTAATAATATCCTAACATAATTTTTTCAACCCAGGATCATGCATTGCATTTAGTTGTGCTGTGTCTTTAATCTCTTTTTGATCTGGAACTCTTTATTAGCTTCTCTTTGTTTCTTATGACATTGACATTTTTGAAAAGATATCTTTCAATTTGGGTTTGTGTGATTGTTTCTTTATGGTTAGACTTGGATTATACATTTTTAAAGAAATGTTACATAAGTGATATTGTGTTTTTCTCAGTGCATCAAATCAGAAAGCATGTAATAATTATTTTTCTCTTTTTTTTGTGTGTGAGGAAGACTGGCCTTGAGCTAACATTTGTCACCAATCTTCCTCTTTTTGCTTGAAGAATATTGTTGCTGAGCTAACATGTGTGTCAGTCTTCCTCTATTTCATGTGGGATGCTGCCACAGTGTGGCTTGATGAGCAGTGCTGGGTCCATGTCTGGGATCTGAACCTGCAAACCCCAGGCTGCTGAAGTAGAGTGTGTGAACTTAACCACTATGCGACAGGGCTGGCCCGTTTTTCTGATTTTTTATATTAACTTTAATCAATTGATTAAAGAAATTTTGCCCAGATTACTTCAACCTCAGTGACTTTTTTCCTTTGTAATTAGTAACTGTCCTTGGGGAGAATCTTTGAGACCATGGAAATACCTTATTCCCTAACCAACTCTCATCAAATTGTTTTAGCATTCATTGATGATTATTGCCTGAATCAAGTATTACTATGATGGTTTCAGAATGGTGTTTTTGTAACTGTGTCGTTCCTTCTACATTTACGTGTTTACATTCTACGAAAAAGAAGCGTGTACCTCTCCTTGTTTACTTTGGAGCTCAAACTGTGGGGCTACTTTAGACTGAAGTAGCAGGAGAGGTTTATGTAAGAAGATAATAATTCCAATGTGAACTGAAAGGTGAAAATTATCCAAGAAAGAACATTCTGGGCATAGGGAGCCCAAAGTGTGAATACTCTTTTCTGCCCAAAGTTTTGCAACAGAGCTCTAATTAAATCATCTGTAAATTAAACATCTCAGAGAGAAACTATAGATGTCGAAAAGCTTTATTTAAATAGCTAATTAATTGAAAGTGAACCAAGTTTTCTGGCATCACAGTTTGACTTGATTTGCTGAGGATAATTCCAATTTATGTCTATTTCCCTGGCATCACAATTAATAAAAGCCCCTTGCTGTCCCCAAAGTCCCCATTTGGGTGATAAGTATTATGATTATCTTTGATAATAGACTCTAAGAAATAAACAAATCCTAATAAGTCTCAGAGAGGAGAAGACCTGGTTGTGCCATTGACACACAAGTCTATACCCAAACACGTTTAACTGAATGTATTTCTTTTTCAGGTTATGAAAATTGGATAGTTCTCCTGCCCATTTAGTTGCTCATTGCATTATTTGCTAACTCCTACAACAAAAAATTGTGTCTTATCCTAATGCAAGTTTCTTTGGTTACATTTTATATCCATCCTCTTATCCTAGTGGATAAATGTGGCCACAGTACTATATGCAAGGTTCATTTATGTGTGTGAATGCTTTAATGGCCACAAATCTGGTTATGGTTACTTTGTAGATAGAAAAAAAAATACCTACACTGAAAAACAGGATGAGAGAAAGTAGCCTGAAACAATCTGGTATAAAAGAATAGACAAAGAGACTTGTTAAAATATTTTCCTTTAGAATGGAGTTCTCTGAGTCTTACCCCAATATAATGTCAAGATACTAGACAGCTTTAGACCTGGGATGGCTTGCTAAAGTGCATTGCGACTGCCTTGGCACAATTGTGATTTAACCTTTATTTCCTGACTTTCATTAAGGGCTGATATTAGAAAGGCTATATGAACTTGGCTGTATGAATGGCCTGTACATCTTCTGTATAATTATGATTAAAGGTACTTTATATGAAGATCATGACATCTC